AAAAAAAGTCAGAATTGTGAGATAAAATAGGTAAATGTTATGTAAAATGTTATATGTTTAAATAGTATTTCATGCTTTAACTGTAGGGCTAATACAATATGTCCCATATGTGAATATTATATAGACCTATTGTTTAAATCTAATTTATGCTTTAAAGTAGGGTAATCATAGCAGGTTTCATCCATAGTCTGTCGGTTTAAACGTCTGCGTTTAGCTTCAAATGGCATCTTTGACAACAGTATTATATAAAATTATTTGCATTCCGATTCTGACATCCAAAGGTGCAACAATATATTTTTTTCTCTTATTCCGTGGATTTTACCCGCTTCCCTCTACTTGTTCCCAGTGTTTTTCTGCCACCACAATGCGCACATAGCTGCATGTGACGTAACTGTGACGTCTACTCCAAATTGGTCTATTACTGTTTTCACTGCTTGGTGAGCATAAGTGATGTCTTTCAAAAGCATTACAAATTCTTAATTATTCCAAACTTTTACCGGTAGTGTATATTATAAAGGAAACACTACAAAACAAGAAATAGCTGTTTAGATTAGAGTCAGTCAAATACAGCATGCGCTGAGAAATGTAAAAAAAAAAAATGACCTGGATATTTTGCAGACCTCTGTTTGGTTCATGGTATTGAGGACTGAAGAGTCTCCAACTTGTTTGTGAATCCAGAGCTCAATACCAATTCTGGTGTAGAGTAGCAGCATGGCTGCAAGAGGCAGGAGGAAGAGGAACACTAGAATGAAGGTTGCATACTGCTTCCTGTGGGCACTCGAGCTCCAGCGCTCCTGACAGCACACATGATGGAGATCATATAGAAAATCATATTTCACCTGTACACAGAGGAAAAGAACAGAGAGATTTGAAAGAACTAATTAGGATATGGAAACCATTATCAATATAGCATATGAAATGGACCAGTGTTATTATGTGAATAATCTAAAATATATATACTTTTTGCCTTGGACCAGAAGGCACCTGACAGCTTCTAACAAGTTAAACCCTGGGGAAATCCTGAAGTATACTTTTGTAATGGTAATACACCCACAGACTGCACGCTAAGTAATGTTTCAACAAGTTGGATGGGGATGTTTTGAATGTTCTGAAAGCTTCAAATGGAATATTTCAACCAAAATATCTGATTAGTACCTCT